AGGTCCTCCTCAGTTTCAGCAAGCAGGGTTGTGTCATCTGCATAACGCAGATTGTTGATAGATCTTCCACCAGTCCTGATGCCACATTTCTCCTCATAGAGCCCAGCCTTCCTGATAATCTGTTCTGCATATAGGTTTAAAGGTATGGAGGCTTTTATCTGTCAACACACACACACACACACACACACACACACACACACACACACATTTCCTCCCTTGAACTATTTGCAAAGAAGTGATTTTACAACTCTAATTCAAAGATTACTTTAATTTTTCTGGTTTTTATTCTGCTTTGTGTTTTTGTGGTTTTATATGGTATGGAGAGGGATCCAGGCTGAGGACAGTTTGGACTTTTAAAAAGTCATGCACACCCATGTTTACTGTGGCATTGTTCACAATAGCAAAGAGTTAGAAGCAGCCCAAGTGCCAATCAACAAAGAGAAGGTGTGGTATATTCACACAATGGAATACTATGCTGCACTGAAAAACAAGGAACTAATGAAATATTCTACAAAATGGGTGACCCTGGAGGACATTATGCTGAGTGAAATATCTCAGTCACAAAAGGACAAATACTGCATAATGCCACTGTTATAAAACAGGACTGACATTGGGGTTGGAGGGAAACTCAGAAAAGAGGGGATAAATAATGTATACTGCATTGAATCAGATTAGGGAAAGAACTGTTTAAAGGGAATATATGATTAGGTATTATTTGCATGACAAGAGTCCAGAATAAGAGCTGCAAAGTAAAGTGGTCTGGGGATGTGGGGGTGTGGGGACTGTATAACAGTGAAAGATTTTTTTTTCTTTTCAAAGAGAAAAGCTAACTCGGGGGGTGGGCAGGGAGGAAAATGTGCAACTATGAATGAATATAAAACTAAATTCTCTATAATCTTTCATTAAAATATAAAAAAATGGATTAAAGACCTAAATGTTAAATCTAAAGCCATAATAAATTTTTCATTGGTTTTCATATAATAATTCTTTTACATTTGATTTCATTCATATATGGAGGACCTGAAATGCCTGCTGCAGAGGGCCAAGGACTGCAGCCTTCAATATGGATTGAGGTTCAATGTCAAGAAGACAAAGATTCTCACCACTGGACCAATTGGCAGCATCAGGATGGATGGTGAAGAGACTGAGATTGTTCACAGCTTTAGTCTGCTTAGCTCCACAGTCAACACTCTTAGCACCAGAATCCAGGAAATTAAAAGACGTATTGCCATGGGAAAGTCTGCTGTTAGGGACCTCTCCAAAGTACTGAAGAGCAATGGTGTCACTCTGGAGATTAAGGTGCATCTGATACAGGCCATGGTCTTTGCAATCACTTGTTAGGCATTAATGAGTTGGACAATGACTAGGGAGGATAGAAGTAGAATTGATGCCTTTGAGCTGTGGTGCTGGAGAAGAGTATTGAATGTACCATGGACTGCCAAGAAAACAGATTCATCCTGGAAAGGGTTAAACCGGGCTGCTCCTTGGAGACAAGGATTCTGGGGCTTCATCTGACATACTTTGGACATGTTGTAAGGAGGGACAGGTCCTTAGAGAGGGACATCATGCTTGAGAGGGTGCAGGGCAGGCACAGGAGGGGAAGGCCCTCTATGAGGTGGATTGATTTAGTGACTGGGGTAATCGGGATGGGTGTATCGGAGACGGTACGATTGGCACAGGACAGAGTAGGGTTTAGGGCTGTTGTACATAGGGTTGCTATGAGTCGCAAGCGACTCGATGGCACATGACAACAATAGCAACAACATTGTGGTTTATACAATCTTTCATTTACATTATGTTTCATACAATCACTCACATACATTCTATTTCACATCATTTTTATTTTTTTTAATTTAAAAAAATTTATACTGTTTTATTTACAAAGCTCATATCAAGTGGGGAAATAACAACCTCTTTAACAAATGGTGCTGGCAAAACCGGACTCCTACCTGCAGACAGCTGAAACAGGATCCACATCTCACACCATACACAAAAATCAACTCAAGGTGGATCAGAGACCTGGGAGTAAAGCCCCAAACCATAAAGTTCATCAGAGACAAACTGGGATCAAGCTTACATGGCCTATTCTATGGTATAAAGAATACAGACAGAAATGCACAATCTGGAGAGGATAAAATTGAAGAATAGGACCTTCTAAAGATGAAAACCCTGTGAGCCTCAAAAACTTTTTCCAACAAGGTGAGGAGAAAGCCTACTGATTGGGGAAAAACATTTGGCAATACCATTTCTGACAAGGGTCTTATATCGAAAGTTTACAGAATCCTACAGGGCCTCCACAAGAAGACTGGTTGCAAATTTTTTGTTTCTTTGTTGTCTTTGTATCTGCTTATTGAATGACCCAGGAAGCATCAAAATAAGATAGGAGGAGTATGCAGAGCTATTGTAAAAAAACCCAAAAATTGGCTGACACAGAAGAATTTAATGAAACACTATATGATCAAGAGGAAATGACGTGGTAGGACAAAAAAGTAGAACTGAAGAGATGGAACAGAGAGTCAGTAAGCTGGAAGACAAGAGCCTCACTGGAAGCATAGTAGAGGAAAAATCAGAGATGAGACATAAATGAAGAAAACATTAGAATCATGTGGGATGACATCAAAAGGAACAACATATGTATGACTGGAATTTGAGAACATGGGAGTGACAGGGAAGTCACTGACAAAATTGCGGAAGAAGTACTAGAAGAAAGCTTCCCAGGTATTTTGAAGAACAGGTAAATCCACATTCAAGAAGCACAGTGGACACCAAATAGACTGGATCCAAAAGGAAAATCCTTAAGACATATCATAATAAACTTCTCCAAATTAAAAGATAAGGATAGAATACTAAAAGCAGAATGAGAAAAAACAGAGTCACCTATAAAGGGGAAACAATTAGATTAAATTCTGATTTCTCAGCAGAATCCATGAGAGCTAGAAGACTGTGGGATGGTATGTACAGAAAGTTGAAGGAAAATATTGCCAGCCAAGAAACCTATACCCAGCAAATCTCTGCATCAAGTATGGAGGAGAAATTAGATTCTTTGGAGGAAAGAAGGAACTTAAAGAATTTGTGAAAATAAGACCAAAAGTACAGGAAATTTTTATTGTTGGTTGGTTTGTTTTTGGTTGGGTTTTTTTTTGTTTTGTAATTTCTTTTTCTAAAAAAATTATTATTAATTTCAATGAAAATTTACAGAGACTTTGGATTTCCATTCATTCATTGTTGCACAAAACTACAGGAAATTTTAAGTCAAGTCCTTCACATGGAGATGCCAAAGGAAAGTGCATGGACCATCGTAACCAGAAACAACAGAAAAAGAAACACAGCAAAATGGTAGTGGTAAAACCTGCCCTGACAATAAGCACACCTAATTAAGAAAAAAAGAGTGGAGAATAGATAAAAACCAAAGCCCATCAATATGTTGCCTGCAAGAAACACATCTAAAACATAGAAAGACAGACCCAAAATCAAAGGCTGGGGAGGAAAATACACCAAGCAAATGGCAACTACCAAAAAGTAGGAGTGGCAATACTAATCTCTGATGAAATAGACTTCAGAATGAAAACCACCATAAAAGATAGGAAGGGCATTACATACTAATTAAAAGCACAATATATCAAGAAGACATAACCGTAGCCAACATTTATGCATCAAATGATAGACCTGTAAAATATATAAAACAACAGGTAAAAGAATTGAAGAAGGAAATAGACAGCACCAAACCACTATCACCAAAGGACAGGTCAACTCAAAAGAAACTCAACAAAGATGTAGAAGATCTAAACCATACAATCAGCTAACTTGGCCTCGTGGGTGTATTGAGGGTACTGCACCCAACTAAAACTCAATTAATTTTCTTCTCAAGTGCACATGGTACATTTCCCAGAATTGATCACATATTAGGATACAAAGCAAGCCTCAACAAATTCAAAAGCAATAAAATAATACAAAATAAAACAAAATCTCCTCAGTCCACAATACCATTCAACTAGAAACTACACAATGGTAAAGCTTACAAAACTGCCCAGGTGGAAACTGCTAGAACACAACTGGGTTATAAAAGAAATAAAGAATGAAAAAAATAATGTAATAAAAAAAGTTCCATGAAACAAATTAAAATGAAAATACAACACACCAAAACCTCTGGGACACAGCTAAGGCAGTTAGTTCTCAGGGGGCAATTCATAGCAATAGGCACGCACATAAAAAAGGAAGAAAAAAGAAAAATCAATGATCTAACACAACACCTTCATTAAATAGAGAAAGAGCAATAATCTAATCCTATAGTCTCTCGAAGAAGAGAAATTATAAGGACAAGAACTGAAATCAATGAGATAGAAAACAAAAAACCATCTGACATCATCAATAAGACCAGGAGCTGCTTTTTGAAAGGGTCAATAAAATTGACAAACCACTGGCAAACTTAACAAAAGAAAAAATGAGAAGACACAGATAATTTGATTAAGAAAAGACAGAGGTGACATCACAGCAGAACTAGATGAAATTAAACTGATAATGTTAGAGTAGTATGAAAAGCTATACTCTGATAAATTCAAAGACTTAGAGGAAATGGACAAATTCCTTGAAACTCATGCCCTACTCACACTGACAAGGATAGATAGAGAACACTTGAACAGACCCACCACAAAAGAAGAAATTGAACAAGTAATAAAAATATTTCCCCATAATAAAGGTCCTCGACTAGATGGCTTCACAGCTGAATTCTACAAAAAAGTCAGAGAAGATCCATCACCAATTCTACTTAAAGCATTTTTTTAAAAAAAAATAGGAAAAAGTAGGAACACTTCCAGAATCATTCTATGAAGCAAGCATAACCATAAAACTAAAACCAGGCAAAGACATTACCAAGAAAGAAAACTGCATACCAATATCTCTCATGAACATAGAAGCAAAACTCCTTCACAAAATCCTAGCCAATAGAATCCAAAAGCACATTAAGAAAAAAAAGAATTCATTATAACCAAGTGGGATTCATAACAGGTATGCACGGATGGTTCAATATAAGAAAAACAATCAGGGAGCTCTGGTGGCCTAGTGGCAAAAAGCTGCACTGCAATCCCAGAGGTGCACGGTTTGAGTTCACCAGATGCTCTGCTAAAGAAGGAGGGGCAATGTCCTCCTCCTGTACCAGTCAGATCTGATTTGACAGTACACACACACACAAAATAATAAAATAAAATTAAAAAAAGAAAAACAATCAACATAATTCACATTAACAAAGCAAGTAATAAGAACCATATGATCTTAGCAATTGATGCAGAAAAAGCATTTGAGAAAATTCAACACCCTTTCCTCAAAAAGACACTCCACAAAATTGGAATAGAAGGGAATGTCCTCAGCATGTTGTTCTTGTTGTTGTTGTTATGTGTTGTTGAGTTGTTTACGACTCATAGCAACCCTATGTACAATAGCCCCAAAACCTGCTCTACCCTGTGCCAACTTTACTGTCTCTGACATACCTATCCTCATTACCCCAGTCACTGAATCGATCCATCTCATCAATTGTCTTCCTCTTTTTCTCTATCCCTCCATCCTTCCAAGCATGATGTCTGTCTTCAAGGACTGGTCCCTCCTTGCAACATGCCCAAAGTATGTTAGACAAAGCCTCATAATCCATGCCTCCAAGGAGCAGCCTGGTTTCACCCTCTCAGGACAAACCTGTTTTCCTAGCAGTCCACGGTATATCCAACATTCTTTTCCAGCACCACAGCTCAAAGGCATTAATTCTCTTTCTATCATTCTAGTCATTGTCCAGCTCTCTGACATAGAGCAAGCAATTACGAAGACTATGGCTTGGATCAGGCGCACCTTAGTTTCCAGACTGATGTTGACATATACTGACGTCCTCAACATGGTGAAAAGTATATATACAAAACCAAGAGCCAATTATCATTCTCAATGAAGAAAGACTAAAAGCACTTTCCTTGCAACCAGAAAAGAATGCCAATTTTATTCAATATTCTGTCACCACTTCTATTCAATATTGTACTGGAAGTGCTTGCTAGGGCAATATGACAAGAGAAGGAAATAAAAGGTACCCAGATTGAAAGCGATGGATAAAATCTAGCTATATGCAGATGATATGATAGTGTACACAGAAAACCCCAAGGACTCAACAAAAACCTGTTAGAGCAAGTTGACCAATTTAGTAGAATGGCAGGATATAAGATCAAAACCGAATTCACGGGAACCAAAATATGACTTTGAGTCTATCCACCTGAATTTCAGAACCATCTCAGGAACAGGTTTGAGGCCTTGAACACTAATGAGCGAAGACCAGATGAGTTGTGGGAGGATATCAAGGGTG